AGGCAATATATTGCGATATATTGCGATTTTTTGTCCAAAAATTCTATTAAATAAAAACCTCTCACTGAAAAAAAAAAAAAGAAAAGCTAATGTTACTTGTAATGTACTTACAATGCTAATGCTACACTTACTCTCTGGCGCTCAAGAGGTAGAGGAGCCAAATGTCTGGCTCACTGCTGCCAACTAGTGGTCAGAGGCTGAACTACAACATAAAAATGAATGGTTGGCAAGAAGGTTGACATTTTAAACCTTAATAAAAAATCGATACAGGGTTTTAGAATATCGATACAGTATTGGATAATGAAATATCGCAATATTTCAGTGTATCGATATTTTCTTACGCCCCTAGTGTTAACCCTGTCTGTTAGCAAAATATCTCATGAGCCACTGGATGGATGCAAACTACTTTTTAATAAGTCTTACATGGTTTAGTGTACAAGATTGCGCAACATTACTTATAAAGTTTGACTAAAGCGTAACTTTGTCCCTTTTCATCATGACTGTTTAATACAGTGATTCACAACCAGGGGTATGCGTACCCTTTGGGGTACAAGAGTATATTATAGGAAACGTGGAAAAATTTCCCAGGTGTGTAAAAAATGAATAAAATAGGACTGAGATATGTAGGACCCTACGATTTCCACAAAATTTAAATGGAATCAAGAAATTGACACAAAATGAAATCCCATATAAAAGGCAGAATCTCACAGAATTTATTCATTTGGGGTATTTGATGTATTTTGGACGCTGCTGCTTCCTGCACCTGCCATTACCTGGTTTATTTATTTACCTATTCACTTTCAAGACAACAATTCTATCTTTATGTTTAATTTGAGTTGAAAAGAATAAAATGCCTGAGAATTAAACATTCTATGGGGTTAAATAAATAATTTTCATTTAATAATCAGTTGTAGTACATTATAGTTTTGTAGAATCATCATTACGTTTGACAGAGGGGTACTAGTGGTATGACAAAATGGCTCAGCAGGTACACAAGTCTAAAAAGGTTGGAAACCACTGGTCTAATATTCTGGCACAGGGGATCCAGTCCCGGTCCTGGAGAACCACTGTCCTGCAGGTTTAAGAGGTTTTTCTGCTCCAGCACACCTACGTAGTTTAAATCAGTGATTAACAGACTTCTGCAGAACTTGAAGAGGTAATTGAGTATGCAGGACCTCAAGGACCAGAACTGTACACCTCTGCTTTGGCATGAAAGAGTGGTGTCAACAAATGTTATTAAATAAATACATTTTATATCTCTCACCAAGGGTTCCACCAGTTTCTTAGCAGTTCTGAAGTCGGGTTCTTTTGGACCTTTTTCCATTCAGCTGTTGAGACTTAATGGACTGAGTTGTGTTCTCCTGCAGGCAGCCCTCGCTCCCTCAGGCACCTCTGTCGACTGGAGATCAGGAGACGTTTGACGATGAGGAGACTGAACAACCCTGAGATCATGAGATCAGATCTTTTCCCTCCAAGACTAAAGAGGTTCATCCTGTATGAGGAGCTGGACCTGTACAAGCAGAACTCAGACCGGCTCATGTGAACATTTACCTGTGTCCTGTCAGGGTTGTATAAATATTACTGTCCTCTACACATACCTGTTTTCTATTATTTGGATTAATACTTCAACTTTTTTTTACCAAGCTAAATGGGTCATGTTTTGTGTTTGAATAAAGAAATTGCTGTGTTTTTAATAAAAAAACTGTCCTAACACAAACATCATTTACTTTTTTTGCCGTTTACCATGTATTGACTACAAGCTTCTGACTCACCAATTTGAATTGAATTGAATTGAATTGATAATGTTTATTCATTTCATCAAAAATATACAATATACAACAAAAAGTCAATTCAAACAAACAATACAAACAATACAAACAATTCAAGATGGCCGCCACAGCTACTAGTCAAACTCACAGATAATGAGCTAAAGGTTATGTAGAAGTAGCTGAAAATCATTTAATTAAAAAAAACCTTCCAACAGCTACATCATTCAGACAATATGACCTCACAGAGTATTTTTCAGAAACCAGAAGAAGAGAAGATGAGAAGTCTTAAAACTAAACTGGATGAATTCAAAGTAATACTTGCTCAGACCCAACCACATGTTATGGCTATATCAGAATCATGGCTGACTCCTGCTGTACCAAATTTGTTTCTTTCAGCTGAAAATGATTCATTGTATCGTAGAGACCGTACTGATAGGCTTGGAGGTGGTGTTGCAGTTTATGTTCAC